ACGAAATGAAGACAGAAGAGAATGAAAGATTATCTGTGGAATATTACTGCCTCAGCATTTGCCTAAGTGATCCAAGGAAACCACAGAAAAACTTGGACCAAGGCAGACGGACCCGGAGTCGAACCGGCGTCCTCCCGAATGCTAAGCAATGGTCTCAGGTATGAAGGTCTAGTTAGAAAAATATCAGGGAATTAGGAGGGGGTAGAGGTAGACCTAGATTTGATTACTGTTTCCAAATAGTTAAGGTCGTTCTAGTTTTAAGAAAAGGCAAAGATTAGCTGAGGATAGGAAAGAGTGGAGGTGCGTGTCCAACCAGTCTTAGGACTGACGACCGATGATGGTAACGTACAGGTTTTCTAAAAAAGTTTTTTAATTTGTTTGAGAACTTATGAGTATGTAAAATGTAAAGAAGGAAAGTATGTAAATTGCAGAGAGCCTAATAGGAGTCCCATTTCGTTCTACATTATTTAGTGAGAGATATAACAAGCGACAAAATGACAGCCGGCACTGGCTATAGTCGACAAAGTTAGTTCGAAAAATTAATCGTCAATACTACCAACGGATTAGATAACTACCATAATAAAGCTCGAAAATCATAAAAGGCGACACGTCAGTATATTATCAAATTAATAATAAAAAGTATTACCCCTTAGTAGCTTCGATTAATTAAATGTATTATATTGCTTTATCCTTAAAATGGACCTTTAATACTAGTCGACATCGATAAAACGTAGCATCTGTCAAACTCTAATGGTATATAGCAATCCAACAAATCGTCTCATTTTATAGAAATCCTTAAATCCGGAAAATTTACCGCTATTCGTGTTTTTACAGTACAATATCTAGACACCATCACGGAAGAAGGTTCTAATAATTTCCGTTACAAAATGTTTGAAACATACTTAAGGATTCCTACTATTAATTTTCTAATTTAATCTAGGTTAATCACAACGTGCACAATATTGTTTTATAGAATAAGAGCCTTTATTAATCTTTGAGTTCAAGCGCAATAGTTCTCACGATTTATCCATTTACGAAATGGTAATTTTATGGGATCCAACATCGTAAAAAATTAAACGCGCCATTTATCGTAGTCCTATATTTTGAACGATCAAAAATCGGAACCTCTCAGTAGTGAACTGCCGGTCTTTTAATTATAAAGTACAACATCTTATAACTTGTCGTGTAACGCTAGACGATTTTTCCTCTCACTGAACCGCAGAAAGTTATATTGTATGTTCACGGTTCCTTACTTGTATTTACTTTTAAGCCCAGTAGCGTGCCAGGAAAAAGGTACTTCCATCAGTTGGAATTTTTAACGTGTACTTTAGAAGTAGATTTAAAAACAGGCACACTTTTTTAATTTTTGTATTAATTGCAGACAATAGCGGAATAAGTCTTAAAAACCCCAAACACAGAAGCCGTGGTCCGAGCTTATTTAATTGCAGATGAAAAATAGGGTTAGTTTAATACTTAATACAATACAAAAATAGTAGAAATTCGTTTTCATCACTTTCTAAAATGGAACTCAAATACTTAATCTCTGTTATTACTTTAAATTTTTAGTTTATGTTGAGGTAGAAGGGTTTTAGTTGGTAGACGCTTCTTGGAGTGAATCCAACCCTACCCAGTCGTACGGACGGCTGGGCATCTTTTGAAAATCACCAATGGGCCACCTTTTGCAAAACAGTAATAGTTCCTTTATTTGTAGAAATACAAATATGTAAAAAATGCGAAAGGTTAATTAGAGGCTTTTACATTACTTTAACATATTAGTATAAAGCATGTCTTCCCATGCATGAATCCAATTTGTCCCGAACTTAACCAAAGATTTTCCAATATTTGATCCAGGAATGGTAAACACCTAGTTTCTGGCATCGGTCAAAGTCTGGTTGGCAAGGTTGGTCCACAACTGGTCAACCAGTGTTTGTACTAATGACCAATATTTTTTCATTTGTTTTTAATGTTTAAAACGTTCTGCGATGTCAATTTTTTCAAAATTATTGATTTTCATGACATGAACATTTATAATGATGTTAGATAATGAAATACTTCACCTCTATTTTCTTCTTCGAGAGTACAATTTTCTTTTATCAAAAATTATTTTAATACGATTTTCTGTTAAATATTGCTCAATGTTTTATAACCTCGATATTTCGAACTTGGTTCAAGTTCATTATTTAGTTGCCTACTATTGAAATGTTAACGCATCGGACTTTGGCAGTTAAACATTAGCTGAGCATTGGTCCCCTACTCGATCAAATTTGGTGAAACGTTAATGTCTTGAACTTTGACGTTTGAAGATTGACTGAATATTGGTCCAGTATGGACAAGCTTGGCTTTCCTTTACGGTATAGCTTTGCGCCTGCCGTCAATACCGGTATTTCCTACATGAGTTATTGCTATTGCATTTTTTTCCATCCTATTTCTAATCCTTTGCATTTATCAACAAATGTAGAGCTTTATTTTCGCCGCTCTTTGTTTTTTTTTGTTGCCGGATATTCGCGATTAACCCCTGAGAAAAGACTCTGGTCTTTCCAAATTTTTCTAGCGTTAATCGCTTGCTTTCTTGGTTGTGAAAACAATAAAAACTAGGTCAGTCTCTCCTGCCCGTTGCTGGTCCAAGAGCAAGAGTGATGTAACAGGTTTTTAGGTTATATTTACACAAATAACAACAAACTAGTATCTTATACGTCCATATAAACGAAATCAGCATTATAGTCATAATGTCAATGCGCATTCCACTTATCCTACTTGTCCATCTTTCTTATCTTTGTCGTACATAGTAGTATAAATAAGGGCGATGTAATTATTAACTTTTTCATAGTTAAGTCTTTGTAAAGCAGTTCTTAATTTAGTCTATTAATACTTGGAAACGAAAATGTAATTCAATAACAAACTTATTGCTTTCGAAAGAGTTCGGCAGTCAATGCATGAGAAGAAAATTGTATGCATCCTAGCAGGCGGTAGTCATTATTAACAGTTCTTATAGATTAATACCCTTTACATGTAATATGTAGATAATAACAAAGTTGCTCTCCGACAATTATAATGGACAAAATGTCCCAGAGAGAGTTCTGCAATCTCTTAATAAACCTACTACAGATACTTATCTACATATCTGTATATGGGTATATGTATTTTGTGGCTGTACCAATGCATGAGACTTCGATGAAAAATTATTATATAATTCCATTTTTAATTTTTCACACCCAGAATTCCATAATTAATCACGTTCTACTGGACATGTACCATGTAGTGGTCAATATGTAAGTACACTACAGGTAATTAATTAATTATGCAAACCAATTTTCTTATGGATTAGACTTTCAAATAGAAATATTTTACAATTTATAATTACCTTATCTTTATTTACAAATGGAAGAAAAAATTATTTTGATTTATTCATGTTTCAGTTTTACGACGGTCATGGATTGGCTACTGTACCTAGTGTACGGTTAGTTAAATGTAGGTGCACACTAAATAATTCACGCGGAAATATTTAATAACAAACATTATAATCATGATATTGCGGTAAAGGGGGGATTACTATGACATACAACCGTAAAACAGAAACCATTTGATTTATTTATATCTGGCAAATTATTATTGAATGTCGTGATGTGTAACAACACTCCATGCTCTAGTCTGCTTTGTTGTAGAGGTGACATGATATAAAGTGTTCTTTGAACATGGTTATCCAATATTTCCTTTTATACTTAATGGTAGTGTATATTTTTCTAGACGGTGCTTATTGTGACAGTGTTGGTGCCGTTATGGAAAATAAAGAAGTTCGTGATAAAACTAATTCGCTGTCGGATATAATCACGACAGGAAAATTATCCTTAACTGAGGGTATGTACCTCCATTCAAATCATTTCCGACAAATATTGTAATAGTTTGATCAGATAATGTTATAAAATAACTGTGTGTATGTATAAGATTAATTATATGAAAACTGGGTTAGCGTTCTTACGGTTATCTCATTTTTAGCAAAAATTGCAATCGAATGAACTCTAATGTTATTCACATTTACTTTATAAATAAAAAACCACTAAATATATCCTCACTACCGACATTTATCATACTACTTTAAGATTTCATACCTCAAACTTTACAGGATTACTTCATCTTGTAAATATTTAACATTTCTAATTGTTATATAGGAAACTGGAATTGTACATAAAAAAAACTAAAATCATTAAATGAGATATAGTTCTGACTTTTTGATGTTGTTAATACTAAAGTAGTAGTTGAATCTACAACTCACAAACTGCATATTTTTCGATATTTGTCCTTATTACACATTTTTAAAGTACACTATTTGCAAAAATCTAACCACAATTCTGAAGACCATTTACTTCTTCTCAAAAATGAAAATTTTAATTTTGCTTCCATTTCCATAAAATATTCAACCTACGGAAAAAATAATGGGGAAAATAAAGCTGTAGTAAACTCAATGTGTTTTCATTAAGTACAAATTGGAGTCTGTAAACCTAACATTGAGCGTCTTCAATAATAATTAGTGATTTGTGATTTTAATAAGATGTATATCAGAATATAAATATACTTTTCCACTTCTTAACATGATCCTGTGCAATTTTGCCTACAAATTGTTAAATGTCCAACTTTTTATAGAATCGATGAATTTTTATAACGTTGTTAAAAAATTATTGGTAAGTATCTGTCATTGCAAAACTGAAGATTGAATATTCCTTTTCAGATTTTAAATCTTCCGAAAACACTGATGGTTATTCCAGGAGTAGACGCAAAAAACTAAAAAAACGTTTCGAAAAGTATATTCTGCCACTCATTATGGCATACAAGTTAAAATTTGTAGCCCTAATACCACTGTTTGTGGGAGGTTTAATTTTACTGGTTGGATCCACAGGATTAGCAGGATTTTTCTTTGCCCTATTCGCCGCTGCACTGGGACTTAAAGCATCAGGAAAGGATGATATCTACTCCTGAACTGAATTAGGACCTACCAGATCGAAAACATTTGAAGTAGTCAATACTTTATACACATAATACGTCCAGACTTACACCTCGTTTAATATTTAANAATACGTTTTAATAAATACATTACTAAAATTCGTATACTTATTTCTCATTTCACTTTTAGGAGATATCAACTTCTCTAAATGTGTATTTGTATTTTATTTGCAAATGAAGTAATTATTAAAATTAATGCACAATATTCGTTTTTGATTCTTTTGCGGAATAAATTACCATCGTCAGACGGTCTTCTCATAATGAAATTGCTCAATAATCTATTCCTTAATTACTTATATGGAACGCACTGGGTATTAAAAAAATCTATTACTCATCGTCAGCCAGATGTAAGAGCATAACTATGTTAACAGGCCAATACGTCTGTACACAATGGTTAAAGCTCATCCGGTGAGTCCACTTGTTTGCCTAAGAAAATTTCCCGTTATATGCAATATGCACGTACGAGATAGAATCAAATAAATCATACAGAAAGTAAGAGCAAATACCGTTTATAAATTAGTGCCGCCAATATACGTATAGTAAAAATAATTCTTTACGTTTACCCATTATGATAATGTGTCCTCGATAGAACTCAAATTCAAGTGCACGAAATCCGTATACTTGAACCTACTTGTTTTTGGAATCTATACTTGGGTTGGGTTTAGCATGACATAGAAAATAGCAGTTATGTGACATACGTCATTTGTATTTATCTAGTTCAATAAAAGTTGTTATTTATAGATTTTTATTGAGAACAGTTTCTCTACAAGTAAATACCTACCTTTTTGCGAAAATAATCGTAAAACTTTCCTTAAGGTGCATAAATTTACTTCGAGATAAAAAAGAACGCTATTTATATATGTACATATAATCGCATATGTATGCGTTATTGCAACTTTCTATAGCAACTTCTATTGAAGTTTTCCTTTCCAGTTTTTAAATCATCTCATTCCAATCAATCAATCAGTCAGGATCTTACTTTTTCGCCATAAAAAAAGCACACTTTCATGTAATGTATGTCTCCTTGCTTTTATCAAGATCATTTTCTACACCCTTTTATACATATACGCAATTCCTCTTAGTGCTTTCACTGACAACTTTCCCCTTTTTCTTTTTGTTATGCTACCGTTTTGAGTTGAACTATTTTATATTGCATATAAAGAAAGGCTGAAATGTAAGTGTTCCATGGAATGACTGGTCAATCCCAGTTTTTTTAAGATTGGTCGCTTGGTCCTACAAGATGTGACAAAGGAGCACCGAGTTAAGATTCAGTTAATAGTACTTTTTGCTTCTAGTGAAAAGAGGTAATTGATGTGGTACTTAAAACAGAATTGGTGTTATAATCAAAAGGTCTATTAGTGGAAGGGTTTATAAAGGATTTAAGTAAATTTTGGAGTTTCAAAAAACCAAATACTCAAGTATGGGAATTATATTTGCTGCTTGGCCTTCAGTGGGTTGGTCTATAATTAAGACAGTGGAAAATAAGAAAAGGTTTAAAGAGTATGGTATAAACGGTAGATAGATACAAACGGTGGTACACTGATGTAAAACAATAGTTTAAATGCAGACGAAGAAATAGGATAACCTGTTGAAGTATAAAAAAATTAATGTATTAAGGAAATTACTAAAAGAAATAAAGGAAGAGAATCAGTATAAATAGAAAGAAAATGGGAAAAAAATAAAAAAAAGGGAATCAAAGGAAACGCAAAATTGAAAGGCTTGGAACAGAAACTAGAAGAAATTCATGAAGAATATAAAAGTATAAACGCAAAAATGAAAACACTGGAGAAGGAGACAAATGGAAACTTACAGGAACTGGAAAAAAGAAGAGATGAACATAATGAAGAATGACGTAATGAATGGTTCGAAGAGTAAATAAATAACTTAAAAGCAGAGGTAAACGAAGTGGCAGTAGAGGAACTGGAGAAAAAATATGTAGGGAACCATATAGGGAAATAGAAGAAAAGAATAGAGAAATTGTAAAAAGAACTGGAAAAGAAAAGAAGGTAAGAAAAAAAAACAAAACCTGATGTTTTTTGGAACAGAGTTGGAGGAGCACAAAGAGAAGAGGAAAATGGGAAAGATTTATAAAAGAGAATATGAGGCTGAAGGTAGAAATAAATAAAGTGTAGAAAATTAGAAAATAGTATATGGTACAGAAATAGAAAAGTGTAAACAAAAGCTGCAGGTGGTTAAAAACAGCAGAAGGCTGAGAGGGATGGAACTTTATATAATATAATATTGGTGCTGACTGTCG